TAGTAAAGGCTCTTTGACAGATGCATAAAAGAACTGAATTGTAAAACTAGGATGGGCAATTAGATATTTGAGGCAGGGTTTCCACCTTCTTCCCTCTTCACTGAGATCTGTGAAGTAATCAGAAAGAGAACGTTCACACTCATCGGGACCACCACAGCTAGGCACGTTCTAGGATCTCACCCACCAGACCACCTAAGTGAACAATCCATGCTCCTTCTTACATGAAGCCAACCCTACTACCTAAACCACTGGATCCTATACCCTCCCGCTGCCAACTCTCTCTCTACTAATCGATCAATTTTTCTCTCTTTTTTTTTTTATTTTTTATTTCATGGTATTATGAGGGTACAAATATTATGGTTACATTTTATGTCTTTGCCTCACCAAAGCGAGGGTTAAAGGCATGCCCTTCCCCCCTACAATGCTCCCCGTGTTCTTCAGTTGCGGGTCTTCTTGATTGTTCCCTTCAACCTACAAACGTGCTGTTATTTCTCTATCTTAAAACAAGACAAAAACTTTGACCCAGTTTTCCTGAGGGCTACCGTTCTATTTCTCTGTTCCCCTTTGGAACAAGTCACCCTCTGTTTATGCTCTTGTTCCTCTTCTCCCATCTCTTAACCTGGACAATGCCTTTCAGACAAAGACCAAAAACCAAACCAAACCAAGCCAAAACGACACTTGTAGTTGAACAGGTTTGGTTTATTACGTTATATCAAGGTAGAACCGTGAGGGGTGATTCAGTAAGAGAGTGTTAAAAAGAACCTATTTGTAGGATTTGGGCTTCTGTTGGGTAATTTAGGGGAGAGCCTAAGGAAGTGGGGGCTTGTTCTGGATTGGGTGCTCTCAGAAAGCCAGGACAATTCTGTGATCTTAATAAATCTTGTCTATAGGAAAGAAAAAGGAGGAATAAATCTGAAATTGGTAAAGTGGCAGTCACTCATTTGGCAAGAAAGAGGGATGTTTGGTGTTTTGAGCTGGACAGTGACCAACATGTCTGAAGTGGATGTTCTGTGAAAAAGAGGAGAAAAGTATAATTTGCTCAGTGTCCTATCAGTCTATAATCGCATTGAGGCTTAGCTGTGTCAGCTTAGTTCACCATGTCAGAGCTACTTCCTGCCTTTCTCAACCCACTCCCGTCAGGATTTTCTGCTCTGCCTCCCCACCCCCCACTAGTCTACCAAACTGTTCCTGAAAAGATCACCAATCATCTCCACATTACTAAATCTAATTGTTAATTGCTAGGCCTAATCTACTTGCCCTATCAGAAACTTAATACAAATTTGATCACTCCACACTTCTTCCCTTGGCTTCCAGGACACTAATGCACTTTTGTTTTCTCCTCTATCTTATTAGTTCCTCCTTTTCTCTCCTACCTCTTCACTTTGAAGTGCTCTAGGGATGAGACCTTGGTCCTTTTTGCCATCCATACTCCCTCACTTGGTGATCTCGTGGCTTTAAACACCAGCTATTTGCTCGTGATTCTCACCTTCATATTAAGAGAGAGCCCATGTCTCTTTCTTAAATGTCAAACTTGAATATCCATTTGGATGTGTAGTATCTCAAACTTAACATACACAAAACTTAACTCTTGATCTTTGCCCCAAAACCTGCTTGCTCCTCCTGCAGTTTCCTTCCTCCCCGCCCATTAATGGTAAGGCCAAAAATCTTAGAAAAATCATTGACTTCTTTCTCTAGAACCCCATTGTCTAAGTGTCTTTCAATGTTTCCTCTCCCACAGTCTTTGGGCTAGAACATGTAACTAGTTTTGTCTAAGGGGACATTAGAAAGCATGATACAGTGTCTTGATGAGTACTTTCACAATGGGGCTTGGATGCAAGCTGCCAAGTAAGAAGTCTGAGTACCCTGAAACCACCATGCTCTGAGGAAGCCTAAGCTAGCCACATGGAGAGAGGCCATGTGGGAGAAAGGAGCCATGTGAAAAGCATCGAGACCTGACTTCAGAGCAAAGTTATCTCAGACCGTCCATCCCTGCAAATCAATTAAATACAGCCAAGTGAATATCCCTAGCTGATGTCACATGGAACAGAACTGCTCAACTGAGTTTTGCCTGATTTTTTTTTTTTTT